TAATTAAATCGAATTTAATTAAAATAAATAAAATTTTTGTTGTTGCAATTCAGTGCTGTTCAAAACCTCTATATTAAATACAAATATAAATCTATTACCTAAAATAGTCACTAACGTCATAACTGACATTAAAATCAAATTTTAAATATATATAATAGTAATTTAAACTTACATATCTTCTATAGCCTTTACTTCTTTAGATGAGTCTTTTTTATTTTGAGTATATATAGTATAAAATGATTTTACTGATTTTTCGTTTGCATGTATCATCAAATCTTTAAATAGTTCCACATTTGGATTAACAGGATTAGTAACAAATTTGATGTAATATTCGTATGCTAAATTCACTAAGTAATCATCAGTAGAATCGCTCGAATTTCTTAAAAGGTCTAAAATATTGGTACTCTTAACGAAGTCTTGAAATTTCAGTACGTATTTCGAATCATCATGTGTGATTGTTTGTTGAAGCCTAAGATAAAATATTAAAAATTTTTTAAAATAAACTATATTAATAATATGTAGAGAAAAGTACTTTTTTAATAACACCACTACTCTATCAAAAAAGTTACTCCTTTTGGCTATAAATTTTATAACAAGACTTTTTAATGTTATTAATAAATTTGGCTTTTACCCAACAGAGTGAAAACACCCATGATTATTATGATTCATAAATCAGGTAAAGATCCCACGCTTGCCTCTTTATACAGGCCAATAACCTTATTGCCATGCTCTTCTAAACACTTTGAAAGAGCACTGCTTTTAAAGTTGAAACCATTTCTTGACGGTCAAAACCTATTACTCTCCCACCAGTTTGGTTTTAGGGAAAACATGGAACTAGCAAGTGAATCGTATAACGAACGAAATAAGACACGCGTTTGAGCTCACAGAATATTGTTCCGCGGTATTTCTCGATGTTACACAAGCCTTTGCAAAGTATGGCACAATGGGCTCCTATATAAGGTACGCTGTTTGTTACCTTTAAATGTCCACTCAGTTTAAAATTGTATCTGCATAACAGAAGCTTTAAAGTTATATATAGATCATATACTAATAATTATTAGATATATATCTAATAATTTCCCAATAGAAGCTGGTGTTCCACAAGGAAGTTTTCTTGGCCCTATCTTGTATGTACTTTACACATCTGATATCCCAATAAGTAGCTCAGTCGTCACCACAACGTTTGCTGATGATACGGCAATTTTATGTCGAAACAAAAACGTTGTGCTAGCTTCAAACCAACATCAATCTCTCTTATTTCGGGTGGAGAAATGGTTGTCAAAATGGCGAATTAAAATAAATAAACTAAAATGTAGACACGTCATTTTTACCTTAAATCGGAGTGCATCTCCAACAGTTTTACTAAATAACATTCCCATACCACTAGCAGATAATATTTATTTACGTATTTAGGTAATCATCTAGACAGACAACTAACTTGGCGCAAATGTTATTCTCCTAGCAAGAAATCTCGCACATCTATTCACTACTTCCTGCCTAAAAAGAGCTGACCGTCCAGCCATTAATTAATATTCAATAGCTTGAAGTGAAAACCACTTCTTTCTTTTAAGTAATCTGATAAAGTTGAACTGCTTCCTTGATACACCACTTAACATTCACTCCAATGAAATTTAACCCATTGTTCTAAGTGAGGTTCGTTTACTTATTTTATTTTATACAATGTATAGTTAAAACAAAAATTTGTAACATGTAATTAGTGATAAGATTTTAAAAGGAGAAGATACAATAAATAAATGTATAAGTTTAAAAAAAAAAAAAAGAAATAAAAAATTCTCAGTTTAAATTTAATATAAAACATTAAAACATTCATACCTTTTTTGTTTACTCTCGTCAAGGGTATCTCGTGTCTGCAAGGAAACATTTATGAGTGGACTTGATTCCGGAGTTTTTGTTTCTTTTTGAAGATTTGTTACGTGTTGATTAGCATTCTCATTGGCTGAAAATATAATTGTTTTTAGTACAAAATTAATAAAATACAATTAAATAAAAAATAAACCAAAACTTAAAATAATATTATTACATTGATTTAATTTAGTTTTGTTGCCGATAGGTTTTACCACTGGTACATTTATAATATCTTCTTCATTCTCATCACTGTTCGTTGAATCTGCAATATAAAGTCGTTAATAACAAAAAATTTCAAATAAATCAAATAAATTTTTAATTTACCATTATCGGAACCAACATTTTTGTTTGGAAACGGCAAGACTTTTGACTTTGGTGTCTTCTGATTTTGTTGATGTATCATAGATTTCTCGACAGCATTATCTAAAATATAAATGTTTTGAAAATAATTAAAATTTAATACAATCAAATCAAAAAATACAATCAAACTTATCAGTTAAGTAAGGTAAATCACAAAAAGAACATTTATTCTCCTTACCCTGATCAATTCGTTCCACCACCGTTACATTTGCACTGCCTTCAAAAATTTCGTCATTATCATTACTTGTCGTGGAGTCTAGAATAAATTTTTTTTTAAAGCCTGAAATTTTTTCAAAAAAAGTTTTGATTAACCGTTACCGGAATCAACATTAAAAATTTTGTTCGGAAATGTCAAGGGTTTTGCCTTCATTTGTGCTCGACATGGTGTTGGTGATAAAGTCTTTGGCATATTCTGTTTTTGGTGATGTAATAGAGATTTCTCGACAGCATTATCTTCCGGTGCCTTAATTTCTAATGCTGGAAAATTTTAGATTTTTTAGTGCTAAGTAATACAATTAATTAATTAAGTGTAACTCACCTAATGAACATTTTTCCATATTTTTATCTTCTTTCATGCTTCCTAATTTTGTTTTCTTATTTAAATGTTCCTTCGTATTAGCATTTATAGCATCTCTATTACTTACTGTAGGCTCTAAAATAAATATTACTTAATAGTAAGGTTTGTGACAAACAATTTTTATTTACCTTCATGATCTGACGTAATTTCTGGATATTTCAAAAGTTTGTCCTTTAAACGTCCCGGACATGGTTTTATTTTCAATGGAAATATTGTCCGAATAACCGTTTGCATGTAAAATGTTTTGTAGTAACTCCGAAGTAATTTATTATTATCAAATAATTCTTCTTTTGATATATTTGAAATTGGCAACTCATACTCCAACTCCTTTATGCTTTGGCAAATGTTATCAATAACATCATTGTGAAATGTGAACCTTTTAAACGTTTCAAAACTGACTGGAAGGTTGCACACTTTTTCATTTGTTTCTTTGTTATTAGCATCAAAATTTGATATAATGCTATATTTATAAAAAATATCGTTTTAATAAAATAATTTATTTATTTAAATAACTTAAATACCTCTTTAGTCCCAGGATCTTTTCTTCTAATATCTTTTTATCGCTAACGCTGTAATGCACATACATAAATTTTTTATTGTCTAAATGGTCAATAATTTCTCTACTTAATATTTACCTATTTATATTTTTATCTGGAGAACTATCTTGTTTCTTTAAACTTTGTTTTACGCTTTGATGTTCATTATCTTTATTTTCACACAAATGTTTATAATATTCTGGAATTTTAAACAAACGTTGTTTTGTATTTTCATCACAGTCACTAGTGATGCGAACATATTTCATTGGTGCCATACATCGTCGTTGTGGTCTTTTGTAAAAAACGTTATATGTATTTTTTACCCTGCTCATGATTTCTGGTTCCGTGAGATATGTTTCTAAGGCTGTTGAATATTTATCTTTAATATAATCTTTAATTAAATCGATTATGTTTGTATTTTCAATGAACTCGTCGATCGTGACTGGAAAGACTGATCGAGTTTTTAATTCTTCACGGGGTCTGAATCAGAAATAAATAAATTATTTTAGCATTTGTTTATTATTATTAATTCACTTTAACTTACTTTTCTTGCAGACTTATATCCTCCTTTGGTTTTGGACTAGTTTGTGCTTTTTTTGTCTTAATTCCCATCGTATCAGTAATTTTGGTTTGTTTAACATTTTTTCGCTTTCTGGGAGGCATTTTTAATTCCGCCTGTATTCAACAATTTAGTGTTATTATTTATGAATTTCCCGCTAAAATTAAAGAAATTTCAACAGACAGTTTTGTAAATGAACTGCGGAATTAGTGCCAAACAAACAGGGTTCATAAAAGTAAAAATAATTAAAAGGTTATTGCTGGTTTCACCTATTGGTAATAATATTGTAATTTTTGGCCGTGTGCGAGTTTGTGTGTATTGAGGTAAAGTAAATTGAAATTTTCTAAGGATTTTAGCACTTTACTTATGTTAATTATTTATTTATTTATTGCACTTATTTATTATTCTTAAAAGTTTTTTTAAATATATTTAAATAATTATCTATTAAACATAAAATTTTCACAATGGTAATACTAAATTTACATAATTTTTATCTAATTTACCCTACTCGAAATTTTGGTGAATAGCAACATTCTCTACTATACCGACATAATTTACTATTTCCCTCAATTTATCTCTTTTGTGTAAAAATTTGATCAAACAAAATATTTTGTTTGAAATTCATTCGGTCGTACGAACTCAAAGGTGCAAATGAAAAGATGTGAATTGTTTTCATTCAATGCAAATTTTATAAAAGGAAATATATTTGAAAACATACGTTAGTTTTAGAAAATGTATTACGATTTAATAATTTTATTAGTAAGCAACTTTATGAGAATTGTAATTATTATTATTTAATGCACTATTTTTATTATTGCGAACATATTCTTAATTATTAATTAAAAAACTTATTAGTTTTAATTATTAATTAACAGAAAATATTATATCTTGTCAATTTACTTCAAGTGAAAACTTTTTATAAATAAATAATAGAATAGTAAATAATAATAAATAAAATAATAGTAAAATATAATTAAGATAAGTTGAAATATGCTACAAATTTGTTGCGTACTGTATTCTAAGCACTTACCGTATTGTAACAATTAATTTCTGCTTTGAAGAAATGCACTCTCAAAAGTTAAAAAATACTTGATAGCTTTAGATGGAATACCATTCAGAATATAATGGAATCTTGCCTTTTTCATCCTGGCGAATTCAAAAAATTTTTGTTGGCATTGCTCTAATTCAACAAAAGATTTGGCAAACTCTTTATTTTAATACCTTGATGAATAATAATCATGGACTTATGTTCTTCTTTTGTTGTTTGAAATTAAAAAATAATTTTATAACGGATTTTCCGTTAAATTCATTAGAACTTCACTATGCATTTCGTTTTCAAAACAGAACTGTCAATTCGCAAGCAGTATAACCGCAAAATGCAATGTGTTCGCACGAGAAAACATATGTACGAACACGCAAGTCAAAATTTACATGCAATGTTACAGCTTTGTGCATGTAAAATAGCATGCTTGTTTACACTTCACGTATAAGACATGTAACAAATTTTTCAAATTTTGGTAATTTTCCTTGTGTGAAATTTATTTTTATGGGTGCATTCAACATTTTTTGCCTTAAATCAGTTTATTTATTTATAATGTTCTCATTTATATGAAAGCGCTAAGTAAGTTATATTATCCAAATCAGCGGCTTTAATGAGCAAAACTTTTTAAATTAAAAAAATGAAAACATGATATTACTTGAATTTTATTTAAAAAATATCTTTATATAAAATCAAAAAACCCGCTTGTGATTATTATAAATTTGATAAATATTTGTATGCCGAAATAATTTGAAATTTATATGAAATTTCAAGTAAGTCGGAAAGGGAAAATTGTTTGAATTAAAGTTATGAACATAAAAGAAAAAAAAAACAGTGAAAAATATATATTATTTTTAATATATAAATATATTATATAAATATATATAAACAGTGATCGACAATTTTATAGCACCTCATTAGGAAATCTCATGAACAATTCCAAAAAACGTTCACAATAGACGAATTTTTAGTCTTGGTAACCATGTGATTTGAGCTGCTTATTAGTTAAACGATTTCAAAAAGGTTGGACTAAATAAGCCAGCAGTGTTGTTGTTTCATATAATATTTTTAAAATAGGCAATTGCTCTTTTTTAATATGCTTACGAAAGAAAACGCCTATTGTAGCCGCTAATGAGGATGATTTACCTTACAAAGTGCTTTCATATAAATGAAATCAATAAATCAGCTCATTTAAGGCGAAAAATGTCGAATGCAAATAAATTCCACACAAGAGAAATGAACAAAATTTGAAATATTTCTCATATGTTTTATATGTAAAATATAAACAAACAACAGCTGAGCTATAAATAAGGCACTAAAATGTAAAATGTATATAAATGATTTAAAATAGCAATTACATAATATATCATGAATTTTATATAAATTTATAAGAGTTCTATTAGCTGCGGGTAGAAGTGGATAGAACTCTATTGCAACTCTATTGCTATCTATTGCTCTTGAAAATTTGCAACATATATTCAGTGAACATTCACAATAGACCGATTTTTAACTGAAAACTTAAAACGTATAAAAGTTTGTAAGTAAAATCTAACTCTGAAGATTTTAAGAGCATTGTTGTTGCTTCACATTTTTTCTTTTGGAAGTTGTGGGTATTTTTTGCTATTCTGAAAGAAAAACAAACTATTTAAAAATCAGATTGATTCGAATAGGAAACACAAGGCAAGCACCAAAAATTTAGTTAAAATAATAAAGTTTTCTATTTGAAAATTTAGGCCGTGTGCGAGTTCAAGTAAATTGATGGTAAATTGAGGAAAATAGTAAATTATGTCGGTATGGCAGTGAATCAGATAAAAATTAGGTAAAATAAGTATTACCATTTTGAAAATTTTATAAGACGTGTAATAAATATATGAATAAATATATTTTAAAATAAATATTTACATAAGTGCAGTGCAAAAAAACCCTAGGAAATTTCGATTTACTTTACCTCAATTTACTCGAACTCGCACAACTCCTTTATATGCAATTCGATATGCGCCCCTAATAACGAAGCTCTTTTTAAAGATTCAATTTTTCAATGAGTGTGTTTCGCCCTATGCGCACACATTATGTAAATGTCAACATTACAAAAACAAATAAGAATGAATTTGCAAGGAAAAGCAAATGAAAAGATTGTCAAAACTAATTACAGTTTTCTTAGCAGACTCGTTCGTGGTGTCTGGTGTAAGGTTATTTGTGTTAATATATAAATGATGTAAAATGCATTAGTTTTAAAAATCCATGTTTCTCAAATAAATTTTTATATACATATATATATAAAGTTTTAACCGTGTTAATTTAAAAATATTTTGCTTGTATTTAAGTTTTTAAGATAAATATAATTTAAAGTGTGACGACTCAGTGTTTTCATAGCAAAAGTATTAAAGAAACGCAAAAACAAAAAATTGCCGGATATTAATTTTGAATATCTAATATATAATAACAAAAACAACATTGACTGTGGCTGCGGCTGTTACAGCCTCTGCCTCCGTTGGCTCATCAGCATTCGAGTTAAGGAGGACATGCAAAGAGTCCTTAAAAGAGCGGGGGTAAGTTTTTAACCCATTCCATAAAAGTTTCTTTACTTTTTTTATAAAAATTTCAAGCATTACTTCAACAAACTAAAACAATAAAAAAAGTGAAGTATTAAGTGTTGTGCTTGTGCTGTTTTTGATGCTTTCTATAACAATCAATTTTTAATTAATAATAAAAAAGTGCACACAAATCATTACCGGTACTTTTCTCTTTTTACACAGCACTACTATACAGCACTAATGGAAAGTATTTGTGCTCAGAATGGGTTCTGCCGCAGTTGCATTCATTGACCCAAATGGGAGCAATTATGCTGTAACCGCTATAATGCAGCGCTTTCTTCTTGTTAATACTAGAGAATGACGTGTTTTAGATTAGTTTCATGCGACACAAGTGTGGTATTTTCTCAAGCATAAAATTATTTTACTGCAATATTTTTTGTTTATTTTAAAAGTATTAAATTGTATATTTCAACCTCAAGCATCTTATATTAGACACTGAAAGAGTTCTTAAAATACTAATTTCAAAATTATTAACAAATTTATGTTTCTTATATATTATATTAAAACTAAGTCAGTAATATTTTTTTTAATACTTATCATAAGTTTTTTTTGTGCGGTGGGGAGGACTGGAATGGTCGTTCCGGAAAGTGAGTGTCCGACTAGCACGAATTAAACTCCTCCCATTCATTCTTAGATGTGTAGAATGGTTGTATTCGTTTACAATCATTCGATGTGGAGTTGCATTTCCCAACCGGGTGCTGTGACCCAAAAATCAAAAAAGGTGCTAGATAGGACTCGTCCCTCACTAAGCGGGAAGCTATGCCTAAACACAACTTCAACTGCTACCGGCGGAACTCCTCGGAGTTTCAATGGGACGTTCATCGTTGCAATATACTGATGCGTGTGTGAACACCGTGGTGTTAAGCCTTCACGGCGGATATCCACTTACAATTCTGAACCTTCACTTCACTCATAGAGGCTTTGTCCTACCTTGGGCCTACGGTAGTTAACTTCACCGTATGGTTCCTATTAGTCATTTAACTCCTACATCGGTGTGACCTGTGTCCAAGCACCATTACTTATTTAGGCAGCTATCCTATCCTTGTACTTTATCTTGGCATATTATAACTGCTTGCTCGGTATAACTGCGTCCAAGCACCGTTTCTGATTTAGGTAGCTATTCTTGTAATTTATCTTGGCGTGGTATAACTACTTGCTCGATATAACTGCGTCCAATCACCGTTACTGATTTATATCGCTCTCGTCTTGGATTTGTGTAACTGCTTGTATAACTTCATCTGTCTAGATCATTTTGAGCAAACATTGTTATGCGAACCCTTCACAAATACATATACTGGAGAAAAATATAGTAAGATTGCTACGTTGTTTAGAAGAACCCAGTAGTAGAAGTATCGAAGACCGTATAAAATATAATGTATATGATTTTTAAACAAAGTATATGAGAAGAATCAAAATTGCTTGTCTTATTTACAAAAATATTTATCTGGATAAACAAATAAAAATTTTAACATAAATTTTTTGATAGTGAAATTTGAACATATATCGGATTTATTGAACTCAGATATAGCTAATATAAAAACACAACGATTAAAA